TGCAATGATCGTCTCTTTAGAGCAACTCCAACCATTGGCTCCATTTTGGAGTCCCCACTAAAGCATATTCTAAGGAATATGCCAAAATAGAGCTTTGCAACTCCAATCACACTCCTCCATTTCCAACTCCATTTCAATTTCTCTCCATTTAACAATTCTTTTACTTAATTTAAAAATATATAAAAATTATAAACTAATAATTAAATAGACATAAGTGGATATCTAAAAGTAGTTAGTTAGTTTGAAGGGTAAATTATGAATTTTTTGGGTGAATATTGATATATATATACAGATTTTATATTTCAATATTAGTCTCATTTTGAAGGTATCGACGAGACATTTCCAATGATATTATTTTTATTAAAAATATTTAATATATTAATATATATACACATATTTTAAATAAGTAAAAAATAATAATGGGACACAAGTGGAATAATGAAATGTTGTTAAGGAGATTGAGGGTTAATATTGACATTTTTAGGGGGAATAGTAAAATAGAGGGGGCTGCATATTTGGAGAAAAAACTCCAAATATGCAGCTAGGGGGTTGGGTTTGCAGCCGAGCTCCAAAATTTGGAGCTCGGTTGGACTTCAACCGGGCTGCATTTTGGAGAAATGCAGCCCGGTTGGAGCTGCTCTTACAGCTAAAGAAAAGCTAAACTTTGGCACGGCTTTCCATATGAGTTGGTCCATCACAATCTCGTGAACTTGAAGTGATTTGAAGTATGCGTATCTTTGAGCTACTATGAGCAAAAACATCAAGCACACATTTTGCTTTATTGAAAAAAAAAAATTTCAGTGCGCCTTTCTTCTAGATGAAATAGGTTGGGTTAATTTTATCTCATATAATTCTCTTGAACTTTGGAATATAATCATAAAATCTTTTTGTACTTTGGACTTTTCTAACGGAGCCCCCCATGTAACTTGCAAATAATTAAAAAAAAAAAAAGATTCAAAGAAAAAACTCAAAAATTGTCTTTAGGCATTTGTAGACAATATTGTACCCCACCCCCCTCTCCTAAAGCTTCTATTTTCTTTCTCTTGAGGAAATTTTAATTATTGGTAATCACATGTAAGTGTCCGTTGAGAAGAGTTCTAGCTTCATAATGGTTTTGTAAGACACATTAAAGTTAATGAGAGAGAAACAAAGTTCAAATGAGTTATATAAAAGAAATCCTAAAGTTCAGAGGGTGCTGTGAAGTTAATCCAAATAAGTGTTTTCCCATGGTAAGGACCTTAGTTAACCTATACCTGTTCTCAATGAATAACACGGGCAATGCACACTTTATGCGTGAATAAAAGGCTACGCAATTTCTGTTAGATGACATCGAGGTGTCAAGTATAGAACTTGTAACATGTTTGTTCCACGTTAAATTCCTTTACCAAACTCTAATAAAATTCTTCTACTCCTGGTTCGCTAGAATCATTGTGTGAAAATGTAATACATTTCAAGTACACACATAATGCTATCAGAGTTAAATAATACGCTTATGAAATCAAGCATATGGTTCGTAGTAGCTAGTTCAAACCTTGTGCAATCTAATTCAACAGCGGTTCCTTTTAACAAGGGAGTTGTCTGCTTATATTGAGGTTAAAAAGTGCAAGTAATCAACACGTATATCATTTCAGAAATTACAAAAATGTAAAAGAAACCATTTCACAATTTTCTATCAGTATATAACCTATCATATATCAAACTTTCAGGAACAATTATAAAATGGGCCAAACCCAAAGAAGTAGGCTTGATCTTAACTTAGTCCTTCTATATTAGGCCTTGGCCCATTAGTTTATTTCCCGAAAATTCCCTTCTGGTCTCGTACTTCTTAGCGCCCGTGAGGGTCTAATACTGAATTAGATAATAGTTAGTTGTGATGAATGTAGATTTGTTGCTTTAGAATTGTTTTGATGTAGAGGAAATGGGAAAAAAAAACAGTTAACTACTTCTTATTAGTTTTTTCTTTAGGAGCATATGAAAAAATTTGCTTTTTTATGATCCTCACGGATGGTCTAAGGAAATATTGGCAATTGGAAGATTTATAGTCGTTCTCGAATAATGAGATACAGCTAGGATTAGCCATCAGGTTACGTAATTAATTTTCTACAAAGTATGGACACTCATGATTTTTTTTTTTAATGGAAAAATGTGAATATACTTAACTTCAAAGGGAAGCTACATCACGTACGTGACCATGTATAAGTCAAGCTACCAGTAATACAATTCTCAGTTTTAAAATATGTACGGACCAAATGGTGGAATACTCTTGTTTCTTATATGGGCTAAATACTCATATTGGTATTTTAATTCCACCCAATTTGCCAAGAAGGTATTTTAATTAGGCAAACTTGCTTTAAGATATTTTAATTGATTCAACTTACCAACAAGATACTTTTTCTCATCGGCGACCGATTTTCCGATGAGAGCTCGTCACGTGCGTGGCACGTGATGACTTAAACTGTTTTTTAGCTGCTGATGTGGCACGGATTTTCTGACGTGATAGTGTTTAAAGGCGGGAATTAACCCTCTAAAAATCCCAATTCACCCAAAATAGGATAGATCCGTGCCATATCAGCAACTAAAACTCAGTTTAAGTCATCACGTGCCACGCACGTGATGAGCTCTCGCCGGAAAACTGGTCGCCGACAAGAAAAATAGTCTTGTTGGTAAGTTGAATCAATTAAAATGCCTTAAAGCAAGTTCGCCTAATTAAAATATCTTCTTGATAAATGAGGTGGAATTAAAATACCAATATGAGTATTTAGCCTTCTTATATGAGTTTCTATTGAGGATTCTTCGCGTTGCATATTCGCCTAATATTTAACTAGTATAATGCACGTGCATTGCACGTGGACGTGTTGTTGTATTTAATATTATATCATTTAATAAATTATATATAACCATTAAAAATTATTTTATTACACTATGATTATAATTTTTTAATTTATACTAATATTAGTACTTATACTATTATTAACATACATTTAATAGTTATTTAAAATATTCTATTATTATATTATTAAACAATTTATTTAGGAGTATAATTATTAAATAATAATGTAATCATTAAATTACACTATTGATATAATTAAACCATTTAAATTATTAAATATTTATGTCATGGACATATTTTATTACAATATCTATTAAACAATGGCAATACTTTTTAGTATTATATGACTTTATGTCGTAAAGAATATTACCTTATTCGATAATTAATATCGTCTTAATAATAAAAAATTGGATGGTATAAATTAAAAATACTATTATTTAGAAAAAGTAATTTATATAAAAATATTGGATCCTTGAAATATATGAGACGTTTACTTTCCAACAAAAAGTGCATGACTCATAAATTTCAAAGATCCAATATTTTATTGCACTATATTCATAATGTCAATTTTTTATGTCTAAGACAATATTATAATATCGTAAAGGGTAATAATCGTTATAATATGAAAATCCTATTTATACTATTATTAATAATTATAATTATGTACAATATTTTATTAAATAAATAATTTCACTATTTCATTACAATTAATAATTATTTTATAATAAATTATAATATATTTATTAATTTTATTATCATTATAAATTATTAGTATATTCTAGCGAGTGGCCAAATATTTTGAAGAAAAAAAGAGAGAAGTATATGTCTCATAAATTTTAAGGATCCAAATTTTTTATATAAATTAATTTTCTAAAATAAAATTATTTTTAACTTATAACATCCAAATTTTTATTACTTAGATGATATTAATTATCGAACAAGGTAATATTCTTTACAACATAAAGAAATAACCCCTATTTATACTATTATTAATAATTATAATTATGTGCAAAATTTTATTAAATGAATGAATTTTACTATTTTATATCATTAATAATTCTTTATAATAAAGTATCATATATTCATGAATTTTGTTATCATTATAAATTATTAATATATTCTATTGAATGGCCAGATAATTTGAGAAAATAAAAAGGTGCATAGTTGATGAGAGGTTATGTATCATTAGTTTTATAATTAATAGTATCATTTTGAGTTATAAAAAATTGAGAGGGTAAAAAAGGAAATCAAAAGTTTTAAGATGGGTATTCTCTTTTATAAGGAGTATAGATTTAAACAGATCGAAAGCATTAATATGAGAGCCTACCCTTCGCAACAAATTCTTGATCGGTAGAATTACTGCATAATAATACTAACGCAGTTAGGGGGGGTTAGTCACCTAGAACTTAAAATTAGAACTGGGATAATATGTGGGATAAATTTTTAAGGTGTTAGTCACATAGAACTAAAACTAGAACAAAATTTTACAGTGTTAGTCAAGTAGAACTCTAATAAAACTAGAATTTGGATAATGGTACAAAATTATCCCACTTTTTTCATTTTTCTATACAAAAATGAGAGTTCTAGTCTCTCAAATTATTCCAAGTTTTAGCTTGGAACTAGGTGGTAAAAAACTAGAACTCATATTTATTTTGTTATTTTTTATTTTTTATATTTTTTTATCTTTACTTCTTTCCTATTATGGTTATCACCATTAGACCATCATAATAATAATAATTGTCAATATCTTATAGTCTAACGAAAAGTTATTTAATAGTAAAGAATATTCTTGTAAGCAATTATAAATCAATAATAGTAAGTTTAAAATACATAAATAATATTTATATCTTCAAAATGTATAAATATATATTTCATGATTATAAAAATTTATCCCACGTTATTTTATCAAAATATCCCGCTTCATAAAATTGTTCCTATTTATCCCACTAAAATATCCCACTAGTAAAAAATTATTCCGCTTTAACAATTATCCCAATTTGCATCAAAATATCCCAATTGACTAACACCCCCTTAGAATGCTGATTCCCTGTAGCGGGCCTTGTTGTCGAACTTTGCCCCACCACGGCCCGCGACCGTATCATGTCAGCACAAAAGCGGGACCCACTTCCCGCACTACCCTCCGGCGCATGTTAGAAAACGACGAGGAGGCGTCGCTTAGATCTTCGGAACCATCTCCTTCCTCCTGTCACTCTCCCTCCGTCCCTTTCAAAAAACCCCCAAAATAAACATTTTCTCTCTCCTCGATTCCAAGCGACAACGCGTACGCTAGAAGCTACTACTACTCTCTCTCTCTCTCTCTCTCATCGCTTTTCTCTACGATTAGGGCTCGCGTTCGATCATTTTTTGTGGAATTCTAGGGTTTAAGGCTCCGATGAAAGGGGAACCGGGGATGAATCGGGATCGGGATCGATCGAGCGATGCAGATCCGCTGCTTGATAAAACGAGCCTGCTGGATTCGGGAGAGGCGAGCGCGAGCGAGATAAAAGATGATGAGGAGGTCGAGTCGCCGTCGGCGGCCTGCTGCAGGATTTGCCTCGAATGCGAATGCGAGCCAGGTGAATTGATACTTTTTGTTGTTCTGTGACTGGAAAAGGTTAAATCTTTGGATAATTTTGATTCTTAGTTACACTTATTTATTATCAAAATTACCGAAAAGATCATGCATAAACAATACGAAAATTTTGCGTAAGAAGGTAACATCTTGCATATATGAGGCCATCAATCCACAAAGTTCATTAAGCATAATATAATCCTAAAGCACATGGTACTTTTGTCGAATTTACGCTCCATTAAACTATTATTTGATTTAGAATAATGTGATAAAAGCTAGCTCGTTGAGTGGATGCAGGAGGATGTTGGAGATATGAGCCACAAACAATTGTAAAGGCGGGATTTTGTGTTGAGGCTTGGTATTAAGTCCTTATATTTAGGAACCTGTTATTTCACTCCTATCCTAATATGTAACTTAGAAGTTGGATTTCTGCTTCTAGGGGATGCAATTTTGTTCTTCTAGGGGATTTTTAGAACACTCCTTGAGCGTTTAATGCATCAAAGGATTATGCATCATTTAAATGAAATTTAAATAATCAAGAAAAAAATACAGAAACAATATAGGTGATATATAAGTTGTTAACATGTGCTATATAGTGAACTTGCAATGTGAGAGGTGTAATTCAACAATACTAGCTGTTCGTAAGTCTAGGACTCTAGAAACTGTAGTGTGGGTGGTGTAATTTTACTAGAGTGATTGCCTGCAGCACAAATACTTGCAGTTCTACCTGCTCATATTTTTATGGAAGTTAATCTTATAGAAAACACAAGGTAGCGAATAGGTAATCAAGAGTTACTTTTTATGTGTAAGTCTGCAAACCATTGTTGTCACCATGTTTAATTGAAAGTGAAGTATGCACTACTATGAAGTTATATCATTTACGCAAGTATCTAATTTTCCAAGCAGGTACAGTCACCATATAAGTTGGTATCTTATCCCGTAAAATATTATATTAGTACAGGTGACCATGATGAATTCTATACATGTCTTTACATAACTATGATGCCAAATTGTTGTAGGTGATGAGTTAATATCTCCATGCATGTGCAAGGGCACACAACAGTTTGTTCACCGTTCATGCCTTGATCATTGGCGTTCCGTGAAGGCAAGTACTCCCTTCCCCCTCCCTCTCCCTTCCTCCCCCGTCCCTCTCTCTTTCTCTCCCGCCCTTCCCCCTCTCAATGATTTGCATCTATACATACATTAACAACTTATTAAATATCCAATTGCCCAAAAAAAAATAATTGAATGACTAATCTACTCATCTAGAGGTGTTTCTTGAAACATGTTTTTTAAGCAAGACTTCAGTAAAATAATTTGGTAGAAAATTGGATGCTAAAATTTAACCATAATTGTTTGTCATCAGAAATTGAATTTATAACTATGTACACGAGAATAATAATTTATGCTTGAGTTCAACAGATACTCCTTGACTTGGGGATCTTATAATTACAATGCAAAGGCTCCAAACGGAGTGGAAGAATATATTTCATGAACCAGAGTGCATCAATTATCAGTTATCCTGCATATATATTACAAATCCAAACAGAGAAAGAAACCTTGGCGCCAAATGAAAACTAGTATCGGCTTTTTTCTTCTTTGTTTGTATGTTTGTTGAAGACTTGAAGTTCTTCATAAGATCATATTTTGAAATGTGTATCTCCTCATTTGACCGGGAAGCAGTTAGTTAAATGATTTTATTCCCTGTTTGCATCAGTTTCTGACCAGTGCGGCAGTGCCATTCAGAAAATCACTAAACACATTGCATGTGCCGATCACCGCTTTTATTGATGCATTAATATTCAAGATTTGATACATATTTTGGTCATTTGCTGAATGAGATGCGATATTTTTGTCATAGTTCAGAGCTTCCCTGTCCTTCTCTTTGTTTGCTTTGGATGGATAGGATGGGCATGGCATATGATAGGAACCACTAGCTTTTTTTTTTTGTATTTTCATTCTCTTGAGGAGCCTTTTGTCTTTGGCTCATATTTTGTAGTTCATGTTCAAGTGAGGTCTGTCACACTTCTTTTGCTTTCACGCCCATGGCTACGTATAAGTCATACAAGTCTAGGGGGGGCTTTTGTGTGCTTATTTTCATATCTATGAATATGTGACAATATTGTAGGGAGAAGGGGAAAAAAAGATGATCTGTCTAGAGCCTCCCAAAAAAAGGGGGAGAGAAAAAGAAGAAGAAGAATTGATACATAGGATTTTGTAGGAGTTTATTTAATGTTTGCAATCTTTATTGTTTTTTGCAGGAAGGGTTTGCTTTCTCCCATTGTACAACTTGTAAAGCACAATTCCATCTTCGACTGGAACAACTGGAGGATTACTCATGGCGGCAAATGAAGTTTCGTATTTTTGTAGCTAGAGATGTCCTACTTGTATTTCTGGCTGTGCAGACCGTAAGCAAACCTCTATCCCTGTATGCTTCTGTTTCTGTTTGACAGTACCTTAGATGTGTGTAGTTTAGCTCTTTTTATTAGATGTGCTTGCTATGTTATGTCTAGCTTATACCTGGTGAACACAATAATACAGATTAAAACCAAGTTTGGTTCATATTAGGGTAATGCATACATTATGGCATGTTTTGAAGGGAATTGCACAACACATTCTATCTAGCAAAATGCATGTCTTAGAATGCAAAATCATATCGAGTTTTGGTGCAGTTGAAGGAACTTCAAGATGGCATCGGAGCAAGCTATGTTTGAATCTCACTACCTATGAATTTCTAAAGTAAATTAAAAAAAAAAATTTTCGTGAGTCCAGATTTTGGCATATGAAAGGTCATCAACCTGCTGAAGCATGTGGGAATATAAAATTATATCCTCGACTCTTATCATAACTTTGGAGTTCTGGTCCAGTGGCCGGGACTCTAAGAGCCGGAACAAATGTTAACATCCTAACACTTTTTGCTTTAATGCATAGATCTGGTTGATGCTTTAGGTAGTCCTGGATAGGTTCAAAATGTCACTTTAGGGTGGAGCCTATTCCTGTAGACTGACAGATACTTCAAAAGGAGTTAATTTTATTATGCCTCTGATTCTCACGAAGTGTGTATTTGAGGTGTCTTTCTCACTGAAAGTGTCTCCCTACTCTTTCTCTATCTGATTAGAAGAACATTTAAAACATAAATTATTATTATTGATTACCCACTAATATATTGTGAATTACAATTCCTATCATTTTGTCTGTACTGGGTAAAACTAATCACTCATAGGATTCTTGCACCCAAACACCTCATTGAAATCTGAACAGCTAATTATAAAGAGAAGAAGATTTATAGATATTCTCAAGAAAAACCATTTTTAGGCTTTTCCAATTAGGGGCTGTTTGGTTGGCCAAAAAAACAAGGAAATCAATGATAAGAAACCTATTTCTTATAATATGTTCTTTTCTTGTGTTTGGTTTACTTCTTAAAACTAAGAAAAGAGATGAGATGAGATGAGTTGTCACCATATTACTGGATGATGTGACTCCTTTTTAAGGAAGCCTATTTCATGATTTTTTAAGAAAATGGATGGAAATTAACTTTTAATGATTTTCTTATCCTATTTCCTTTTCTTTGATTGTAGGAAATCAACCAAACAGCCCTTTAATACAGATGTCAAACTCTTGGAAATTAGTTTGTAAAACTGTTAGCTTTTTTGGATAGGATCCATCTATCCATTTAAGCTACTAGTTTGCAAAACTCTTTAACGATGGTAATATACTAATATAGCCGTGAAAACATAGCGCAACACTGCAACTCATAGCAATCATCATTATGTTCTCTAAATAGGCATGAAATGATTATATATATCTTTTCTTATTCGCTTTTTCTTCCATTAAATTTCAGGCAATTGCTGCTATTGGTCTTTGTGCATATTTCTTGGACAAAAATGGGAGTTTCAGAAATTCTTTTGGTGATGGTTGGGACCGCATATTGTCAAAGCATCCAATACCCTTCTACTATTGCTTAGGTAACTAGTATTTCCTACAAAGTCAGTATATGGTTCTTACTCCTAGATTTGCTGGAATTCGGCATCTGATCAAACTAATATTGCTTTAAACATGCTGATCATGTTTATCAGTTTATGTCACCTGACACATCAAGGAAGTTCTAGTTATACTATGTAGCCAAATCATATGATACAATTGTGGCTGATTATGACCTATCTTCTCTAATATATCATAAGAAACTGAAAAGAGGAAATAATTCACTGAACAACTGCCATGATTATTGTACCGAAAGTACTAGAACTTCAGCAGAGAGAGACGAGAGACGTACACAAGCGATTAGGATAGAGAATTAATTCAGATTTGGGAGTTAAAACAGATCTGATTGGGACACAAAATTTAGATTTGGAAGAGAGAATTAATTATTTTTATTTAAGGATGTTTTAATTATGATCCTTAGAATGAAATGGATGGTTAGGATTTGTGCGTGTCATATTCCATGGGAATCTTGCATCTCATAGGATATGCTCCCTATATGTATCCGTCGCCTCGTTGTGGACGATGTGTTCGCCTTTTCACATAGTGAGAAGGAAAACAAGGGGGGAAATAATCCGTTTTTACTATAGGAAGAAGAGATGAGAATGTTGCATAGGGGTTTTAAGGAGAAAGAAGAGGAAGAAGAGGAGGGTAGAAAAGTAATTCTATCATTATTATGTTAGATTCTCTATAGGAATTTAATTGGGATAGTATAAATTGGGGCTTGACCACAACCTGAGGGGTAGGTTAGCAAATATGAAGATTTGGAGGGTAATTTTAAGAAAAATACCAAAGTGAAAAACCTTTTCTTGTGACATGATAACAATGGCTATTGATGCAGGGGTGTTGGTATTTTTCATGCTGCTCGGCTTCTTTGGGCTGATACTGCATTGCGCTTCCATCAGTAATGACGATCCTTGCATGGCTGGGTGCCGTAATTGCTGTTATGGATGGGGTATCCTTGACTGTTTCCCTGCTTCCATGGAGGCTTGCTTCGCTATTATCCTCATATTTGTTATCATATTTGCCATCCTCGGCATTGCATATGGTTTCCTTGCAGCAACCATGGCCATCCAGAGGATCTGGCAGAGACATTACCATATCCTCACAAAGAGGGAGCTTACAAAGGTAACATGCTTGTATGATGGAAACTAACCTCATGTTGATACTCTTATGAAAAGAAATTTCTTGTGTTCATCAATCAGTGGAAAGGAGTAATACCCTTTGTGTACACCCTTTGACGCCCCCGGGGTTTAGAAAACAATAGCTTTTGGAAGTTAGAATTTTGGCTATGATACCTTGTTAGGAAAATAAATCTCTTGTTATTCATTGATTATGTAAGGAGCAACACCGTTTGTATGTACACACATATTATGATATCTTTAGAAAGTCCTCAATATGAAAACTCTAATAAGAAAGGAAAACTAAAAGAAAAGAAAGCTCTTTGAAAGTAAAATGCTAGGAAACACTGTATTTAAGGGATACATTTACCATGTGATGCAGGAATATGTGGTAGAGGATTTACATGGATGTTACACACCACCAAAGCTGGACCAAGAGCATGAAGAGCGCCTGAAACTGCTTAATCTTCTTTAAAGGTAACTGAAGGGTATTTTTTTTCCTTGTGTAGAAAATGTTGGAGGTTTCATCCCTTAAATTTCGCTATATAAATGAATCTTAGTTATTTAGATAATTGAACAAATATCTTTTTACTGTTAGAATAAAAAGTTCCTACTTACCAGAAGCTACAAAGCCATCTTGCACACTGTAACTAATGTGTCTGTTGCTTTGGTATCCTCTTGGCTTCAAACAAAGAACTAGTAATACTCAGAGGGAAAAAAAAGGAACTTCTTAAGGTCCACTTCAACCAAAGAACTTCTTAAGGTCCTCACTTCAACCAAAGAACTTCTTAAGGTCCACTTCAAAGTCATGGCGAGTGTTGAGGATTATATTGTTTTACTCTCTAACATTCCTCCATAGGTTGAGCTTCATTTTTGTGGACAGAAACCGGAGCTCACGTAGCATTATCTTTTTTAATGCACTTTTAAATGTGTGGTTGGTGGGATTCGGCCTTGGGTTGCCTGTCTTAAGTACCTTCCATTACCCAAACTATAAAATTATAACCCTCAACGACACCACAGCTTCAAAGTCTTTGGTGAGTGGAAGAGTCTTTGGTATCATATCAAAGCAACCCATGTTTAAATCTCACCATTCACATTCGCATATTGCAAGCGGACTAAATAAAAAGTACCTCTACACTAGTCCAGGTTTTGACCCGTGAAAAGGATGCAACCCATCAGGGTGTTACGATATAGAATTATAATGGTCAACCCTCACCGCAATTTCGGAGTATTGGTATAATGAGGGGGGATCTTTAAGAGAACTAGTGATAATTGGTAGGAAAAGGACACTTTTTAGCTTTTGTTAGTGTTCTGCCTAGTGCTAGCTGAGCTCATGCTTCCTATGAATTCTTGCTCTCAGATTGCAAGAGCTGAGCACCGTTGATTGTGCAGATCCGCTGGATAATAGATGGAGCTAAACGAAAAAAGGACAGCTACTAGTAACTCCAGCTTCTAAATGCAACATGAAGCATGAATCTTCTGAGGAGTCTGTGAGAATGTTTGTGTGAAGAGTGTGAATGATGCAAGGGTTTTGGATTCTAAACAAGTCAATATGTACAGGATGTCCTAGCATAAAGGACGTGAATGTGAAAATGGGCGAAGAAAAAAAATTGTATATGGGGGGTGTGACTAGGTGTTGACTGCAATTCTGCGTTTAAATTACGTGCAATGTGTAAATGTGTTGGACATCTCTTCGGTATTATGTTTATGTCTTGTTAATATCCGTTGCCTTTGTGTGTTAGAGGGGAAAAAAGAGGAAGGAAATATGTTGATGTATTTGGCTTTGATGGAGTGTACAATGATAGATTGCATTAAGGGCATATAAATTTATTGTTCAAGTCTTCAGGTGCATAATGCAGAAGGATGCGCTTGTCGTTTGGAAGAAGCATTTTTTTTCCTAGGAGACGAGGCCTTGAATAAATTTAGCACCTACTCTACTTTGTTGCTTGAAAGTCTTGCAACAATAATTATTATTATTGCTGCAATTTATAGAAGACAATGGTAATGGAAATGTTTGCGATACTTCAAAAGTTTGGGATACAGGTTTTGTTGTTCTGGTAGCTATGTTGTTTCACTTACTTGGAGTTCTAGTTCACTTACTTGTAGTTAAAAAAAGTGCCTTCTCTTTTTTTGCTTAGGGGCCGTTTTGGTTCGTTTTCTAGATATAGGAAAATGTATTTTTATGTATAAAAACACAAGTTTTAAGTTTTCCAAGCTTTTCCAAGAAATAGATTGTTTCGCTTTGGTTCGCATAAAAAAAAAAAAAATTGGTGGGAAACCAATGTATTTATTTTTCTTGTGTTTGGTTCGCATGGAAAAAAGAGAACTTTTGTTTATATGGCAAAAAGCTGACGTGGCTGCAGTTTTCGTCGATTTCACGAGGTTGAGGAAGGAATTGGGGGAGAGAAAAAAATCTGATGTGACGGCGATTTTCACCGAGTTTCCCTTCTTCAACCCTAGCGAACCAAAGATGGGAAAAAAATCGACGGAAAGCTTATATTCTACGTGGCCACGGAAAATCTGATGTGGAGGCGGTGTAAAACTTTTTAACCGAGTTAAAAAACGAACCAAACAGCCCCTTAACAAAAGGTTTTTTGTTAATCTGGTCAAAGCTTTTCTTATATTTTTTGTACCTACAGTTATAGGCTATGTTCGGCAAAACTAGCTGAAAGCTGCGAGATTATAGCTGAAAGCTGTCAAGCTAGCTGAAAGCTGTGAAATTATAGCTGTGTAGCTAGCTGATTGACTAGAGCTGTTTGGCAAAAGAAGCTGTACAACTAGCTTAATTTTGTTAAATGACTAAAAATGTCATGCAATATTATTGATATAAAATTAGAATTATTAGGGGCAAAAACGAAAGAAAAAAAATTGACAGCTCCTTCCCAAAGACAAACGCTACTTGAGATAGCTTTCCAAAAGCTACTTGCAAAAGACACAATCTTCAAAATAATCTCCTCCTATTTTTGATCACCAAACAGCTCTACTAGCTTATTGACCAAGTCAATAAGACACAAGCTCTTAGATAAGTTACTTTTTTTGGTTGCCAAACAGTGCCATAATAGTTAAATAGAGTTGTTAATAATAGGAGCAAAACCCAAAACAGAAAACAAATAAAATAGAGATATTGTAATTTCTACCTACCCCAAAATCATGGAGAAACATCTTGAGTTTTTTTTGGGGTACCAAAACAACATTAAAATGCAACATCAAAATAGAAATGTGGTGGTTTTAACAGTAAATGATTAAGTGCTGAAATGTTATGAAAAATAGCTTGTGAGTATCACATGAGAAATATGGGAAGAAATTTCTCAAGTTTGAGGAAAATCGGAAGAAATTTCTCAAGTTTGCATAAGAGAAGATATCAAAGTGTAAATTTTAGAAACTTGAGAGCATGAGTGTTGCCGAAAACAGATGAGGGTATATAAGTGCAAAAGGTGGGGAACTATGAGGCGCGTAAGTGCCGTTTAAATGAACTACATCGCAGGATTCATGATGGACCAATGGGCCTTTACATATTTGGGCTTGTGACACGTGGCAACTACTTCCTCTTTTATAAGTAGCCTTCGCTCATCTGATAGTTTCGCTCGCCCCTCAGCTCCTTCTTTTGCTCCTAAAATGTTCCCCCTTTTTTTTTATTTTTCCCCCCATTTTAGTTAGTATTTAAAAGTGCATTAAATAATTAGAAAAATACAACAAATCCACAGCTTCTCCTCCAATTTTAGTTTTCACTTTGTTCAAGTTGGGGGCTAGGGTTAGGTTTTCAACGGTCAGGATCTGCTCTCTTGTTTTGGATTGGGAGCTTCGATCCCATTAGAATTAGGGTTAGGGTTTTCTAGAGGGGAGATGGAGAAGAAGAAGGTAGCGGTTCCTTTGGTGTGCCATGGACATTCGCGCCCAGTGGTGGATTTGTTCTATAGTCCAGTTACCCCTGACGGCTTCTTTCTCATCAGCGCCAGTAAAGGTGAAATCTTTCATTTGATTGATCTTTTCTATTTTGGGTTTCTTTAGGTATCGATTCCCAAAAGCCATGAACTTTGAAAAACGCCCGGCAACTTGATGTTATGAAATAAGTCCCTCGTAATCCTTTAGTAGCCCAAATTAGTACATTTAGTATAAATTGGTTAGCCTTAGCCAAAGTGAACAATTTCAATTAGGTTTTATGTTTCCCCTTAATTTGCACATTGGACACAAAATTTGCACGTGAGTTTTAATTGGTTTAGAAATGGGGGTTGAAGACGATATTCGGGACTTAATAATATCAAGTTTTGGAGGCTTCTTTCAAAATAGATGAAATTTCGGTACCAGTATCCGAAAAACCGTTTTTATATTGTTTCTATAATTGCCCATTGAAAGAGGGTGTCTAGAAGTAGCATATTAAAGTTTGCAATATTTTTTTTTCCTTTTCTGATTATGTTTTTAAATTGATTAGATTCAAGTCCCATGCTGAGGAATGGAGAAACCGGAGATTGGATTGGGACGTTTGAAGGGCATAAGGGTGCAGTCTGGAGTTGCTGTCTCGATACTAATGCCCTACGGGCTGCTTCGGGCTCGGCTGATTTTTCAGCGTATGTTAGCTTATTTGTGCTATTGAAGTTTTACTATCAATATAATGATACATACAAATGTCTTTATAGTTGCAAGGCATAACTTGGGGCTAACTTTGTTTTAAGTAAACTAAGCCTTGGAAGTAATTTGGTACTCGTTTGCTGTTGCATATTTGGCTTACTGTGAACTACTAGCAAAAGAAGAGTAGGATTGTCACATGTATAATTTTGCTAGTTAGATATATAAAACTTTGTGCTAATCAGACTAGGTAGAAGTGTACAGCTTGACCTTTAAACTCTTCTGAGCATGTAACTACTTATTTTCTGTTGCCATTACCACTTTGCTAGCTATGCCTATATGTACATAAATATACACATGTATCACATCCTGTATGTAAAATTTGATGGGTACCTCTCTGCTGCTCTTAACTGGCTGATCAAACAAGAACCATGTCTTTCTTGCCAAAAGCATATGTTGAATCTGTTACAAGAAGAAAATCCTAGAAGTTATATTTTGTATTTGTATATCTACATTGTCAACAAAATGACAATTGGCAATGGTGACGTAACCGTATAACAATGCAGAAGAAAATTGAGAAGTTTAAGGAGAAATGTTTTTCTTCCTTTTCATCATCTATTGTTGATTATGGACTGGAAAATGGCCTGTTTGAAGCATATATAATATACCTATAATGGGGGTTGGTGTGGGCTATGCCGGTTTATGCTAGTGATCTGGCCTGCCGAGTTCAGGAGCGGGCTTGGTATGTCTCGGGCCCGCTTGAGTTAGAGTGGGCTGGGTTTGCTTAGGTCAGAGTGGATCGGGCTTATTTCTCTAATTCTGGGTCTGGGATTGGACTCAGCCTGGCCCACGACCCGCCTAGTGGTGAGTCGGGCCCAGCCCACGAGTCATGGTGTCGGCTAGTGGGGTTTTCAACTTTTTTCTAATTTTTTATTTCTAATTTCTAAACTATATTAACTTTGTATTCATATCTATTAAATTATATTTAAATTATTTTTTCCTATTTCACCCTTTATTTTAAATTACATATATATACATTGCAGTGTTATCGAGGCGCAAGGCGCAATACGGGGCGTAAAGTTTTCTTACATGCACCATGCGTAGGGCGCACAACGAGGCGCGCGCCTTACTTAATTGAGGCGCATAACTCAAACTAATATTTTCAACATAAGACAGAAGCATATAAATAATATTTTTATAAATTATCACATAAAAAGACTAAGAAATATAATTTCACCTACTAAATCAAGAAAGAGTCTTAATTAGCATGCATAACATAAAGAAGTTCATATGTTTTCACAAATCATAATGTAAGATAATATCCAACATGAGCAAAAGTCTACGAAATAAAATAAGCAAGTAGCAAAATAACAAAGTTTTTAGTCAACCTCATCATCATCGTCATCCAACTGAAGTGAAACCTCCTCATCCTCAGTTTCCTCCTCTTCATTAAACTCATCTTCATCCTTCGAGTCCGGCTCACTCCTCCTAGACGACGAAGCAATACCACTTGAAGATCCTCGAACCCTAGCAGTAGCAGTAGACCTTAAAGTTAGTCCCCAATTTTCTTCAACTCCCGTTGCTTCACCTATAACACCCCATCTAAGGTCATCCTCCTCATCCACCAAGTCATTTTTCACATTGTCGTCCTTTCCAAATTGACCTAACAACCACTCGTTGCTTTCATCTATGTCAGTCAACTTGATTGGATCAACAATATCATTGCAGTCAAATCTTTCCTTCAAAGCTTGATTATATTTGCAATATACTAGATCCTGCAACCTATTCTGATCCAACCTATTCCTCTTCTTGGTGTGTATCTGCAACACATATAAAGTCAAATAATCAAATTAGTACTCGAAATCCTTAATTCTTTAAGCATATGTTTATTCAATTAGATGAAATTAAACATACTTGTTCAAAAGTACTCCAGTTTATTTCACACCCAGAGGAGCTACAAGCGAGACTAAGGATCCTTATAGCAAGTTTCTGCAGAACCAGAGCTGCTACACTGTAAGAATCCCACCAATCAGCTGTCAAGATACACAAAGTAATCAATACGAGTATACAATATGTTATTAATTTATTTAACTAAAAAGTATGTGTACATAATTAATTGATATATTTTACCTGGAGATTTTATTAATTTATTTAACTAAAAAGTATGTGTACATAATTAATTGATATATTTTACCTGGAGATTTCTTTTCTCGGTTTCTAATAGCTATAGGCATTGTACATAATTAATTGATATATTTTACCTGGAGATTTCTTTTCTCGGTTTCTAATAGCTATAGGCATGCTAAATAGATCCTGTGCTTCTTCGTATAAAGTCAACTCTTGAGAAATTTTATCTTGATCCTGTTGGGGCACAAGCTTTTGAATGACTTCCCAAAGGCCTTTCATGATCTCCTTATCAACTTGAATGTTAGGGGTGGGCATAGCAAAAATTGGATTAAGGTAAAACCCTGCAGCATGCAAAGAATGATGTACTGAACATTCCATCTCTTATCAATCATCTCAAATACCTCCGAATATTTGCTTACATCATCACCAAAGGCTTTTGCAATAGCCTCTTTGGTTCTATCCATAGCCTTATAAATAAACCCCATGGCCGGCTTCTTCTCGTTATCAACAAGCTTCAAAACACGAACAAGAGGACCCGTGAGCTTGAGAACACGAACAACAATATTCCAAAAGTTAGTCATTTTAGCTATCCTCTCCGTCAACAACAATATTCCAAAAGTTAGTCATTTTAGTTATCCTCTCCGCCGCTTTGCCCTTTGGATCTCTTGCCCACTTGCTTTCCACCCACTTTTCGGAATAAAACATCTTCCTTAAATTATTCTTTTGCTTATGGATGCTTGATAAAGTCAAAAATAAAGTGGCAAACCGCTTCGCCGCCGGTCTAAGAAGCTCTCGAGCATTGATTTGATCTCTCATCAACCTCAAAACCCAACCATGTGAATAAATGAAACCCGTCAACTCCATAGCATGACTCAAGGTCATTTTCACGAATGATAGTTTTTCGATATCCTTAAGTATGAGATTGAGACAATGAGCATCACACGGTGTCCAGTACATATGAGGATATTCATCCATCAAGTATTTACCTACAACCAATAAACAAACATCTCATTAGTATTCAATCATTCAATTTTAAAGAAATTAGAAAGCACATCAATCAATATCAAATAAATTAAACCAAATCTAAAATTCCATACCGGTTAATTTGAGACTAGCACCGTCACAATTTGCACAACATTCTCTGGCCTCATCTTCTTAATCTCTTCATTGAAGATCTCAAACATCCTCGCACCAGTCTTGATCTCAATGGAAGCATCAATAGAGGAAATAAATACTATTCCGTGAGGAGAGTTCACAAGAAAATTTATCAAAGTCCTTTCCTTCCGATCAGTCCAACCATCCGACATAAAAGAGCATCCTTTTTTTTTGCCCAAACCTCCTTATGAGGTTGCATGAGATCTTCAGTGTACTTCTCCTTCTTAAACAATGGCTCTCGTAATTGATGGAATGTTGGAGGTGGCAAGTTAGGTCCAAAAGCCCTCACTGACTTCAACATAATTCTAAAGGACCTAAGTTGTACGGCATTAAAAGGAATTCCCGCTTGATACCACCAACAGGCAATATCTTGATGCACTTTAGCAACTGCATTTTTGTTGAGGCCTTCTTCAATGCTTGTTTGCTGCAATTTTCTTCTTCTATCGTCTTTGGCTACCTCCAGTTCCGGGTCAAATGAGAGAAATGAATCCATATGCCCCTTACTCTTTGTTGAAGATCCTACACTTCCTCTTCCTCTTGTAGATAAGGAAGATGATTTAGAAGTAGAAGTCAATACACCCTTTCCCTTGTTCCTAGTTGCTTGTTCTTGTTCTTCAACCTCGCCAACTTCATCTATTTCAACCATGTCATCATCTTCAAGATCCGACATGTAATTTTCCACTGCTTGTCTTCTAATAATTGCTTGTTTTTTTGTCATATTCCTTAAGCTCATCAACCACATTCGAAGGAACTTTATTGCAAAGGGAAACATTTTTACGTTTCCTCATCGTTCCAATAAGATGCTCCTTTTGCCTTGATATGCCGTCATTGGTGATCTTATTATAATAAATGCACTTGTGCTTGTTGGAATTCCCTTCCTCAACTAGAGAAGTGTACTTCCAAGTCGGATCTTGTCTTTCTACCTATATTCGTACTCGCTGGTGCCGATGAAGACATACTCAAGTTTATTAGTCACCTACACCCAAAATTATGAGAATATCAACTTAAATCATCAAATTATGCTAACTAAAATTTTAAAGTAACAAATAAGATACAAGAAATATGTGTTTTAATTAAAAATGAAATATGTTTTTTAAGTAACAATTAAGTGATTAACAATTAAATATTTACACGTTCATAATTTATTAGTTAGCATACTAATTACCTATTTTAAGCTCTTTTTTCTAATTATACTAATTACTAAGTTGTTGCTCATTGACTTTGTTTTTCTTTTTTACAGATTATACTTGAATTAAGTAGCAACGAGCAAGGATGAAGGATCAATCAAATTTCCCAACACAGCTACCAAAATAAATATCCATAATTCATTCATGGAATATGTAATTTGCATATTCATATTGTATTCCTATTTTCTAATGAGATCTTTATATGTAAATGTATATATAACAGTTAGTTGAACAACAGCAATTAATTGAACAACAACAGTTAATTGAACAGCAGAAAAAGAAAAAAATAATTCTCAAAGAAAAACAATTAAAGGGAAAAAACTAAAAAAATAAGAAAAATTAAAGAAAGCAACAGAAAAATAATTCTCAAATAACAATTATGCAAATAACAGTTGAGGAATTAATTTTATGCAATTAACAATTATGCAATTAACTGTTAAGAAATTTTTAAAAAAAACAGTTATGAAAAATAGGATGATTACAGATGCATTAAAATAGATCGCAGGTCGCATGAGCTTACAAGGTAACCAAATTCATATTCAAAGATCAGCCAACAACAACTAACCATTACCTTTACAATAGAAGAGTTATGCACCATTATGTCGGTGGCAAACAAAAGAAAAAAAACAAAAACAAAAAAAGAACGACCGAAGAAAACAAGAAAAGAGAGCAAGAAAAGAGAACATCTAAAGAAAAAAAAGATCGAAAAAAAAAGAACTGAAAAAAGTACCTGCTTGGACGGCGACGACGGAGTGGGACGACGTCAGGCGGGGTCGGCGAAGACGGTTGGCAGCTCTGGGTCGGGGAACGAAGAGATGGAGTTCAGCGTTTTTTTGATGAGAAAGAAGCTGGAAACCCCAAGGGGAAAAGAGGTAAGAAGCAAATAAGCGGGTCTTCTTACCCGAAATCCGTTTGAAATTTACCACCCAGCTCAAATCGCCTCAGCAACTGACGCGCATCAAGGCGATGCGCCCTACGGGCAGCCCAGGAATTCACGAGGCGCACCCCAGGCGCGCGCC